TAATAATAATAATAATATAAAATTCTTCTTGTAATAATAATACTAAAATATTTTATATTATTATTAGAAGAAAAATTGTCACACATATATATTTTTAAATTTTGAAGAAGAAAATTAATGTTATTATAAGCATTATTTTCAATTAATTGTTAAATCATATTGAATTTTTCAAAATAATTTACCATTAAGTGCAATTTCAAAAGCTCCTGTGGAAACCAATTGACTTTCAAGTGCATTGGACAAAAAATATATCATCAAACATGCATGCATCTGTAAAATAAATTAGAAATTATGTAAATACTTATAATATGATCAATGAAAAAAATCTATGTTAATACATACTTTGTTCTCAGTCATCCAAACATAAAATTGTGGAGTAGTCATTCCTAAAGAAGGAAAGGGAGTAATGCCCCCCAAAATTAAGGCAATGAATACAAGTTTAAATACATTAAGAAAATGAGCAAAACTCATTCGAAGAAATGGAGGCGGATACGTGTCTCCCGAAACAGTTAGGTCCGGATACTTTTCTTGAAGTATGGAGGCATACTGTTCAAAGACACGACGATAACCTCATGAATAACTGAAAAATAGTAACAATAATAAATCTCAAATTACATAATTCATATAAATTATTTAAATTTAAAAATTAATTTTTCAATAAAGTTAAGATTAAAATTAATAACACTCATGCATATTATTTCAATTATGTAGCTTTGTAATAAATATTACAGCAAAAATTAATAATATACTGTCACGTACAACATTCAAAATGATACACACTAAACTGGAATATATTCATATGGTAAAGAGAAATCTTCGACTTATGTTTTATACATTATATAAATGTTGAACATAAAATGACATTTACTTCTTAAAAAAAAAAAAAAAAGAATTATGGTATTTTTATAAGAATTACAGCTAAATATTAAATATATTGAAAAACAAGGAGACACAATTTGATGATACTACTCAGTTGATATAAAACAAATTGAAATCCATATATACAGGATGGTCCTAAAGTCCAATGTGAAATTTTATACTTCAATAACTAAAGATGTATAAATGTAAAATGTAAAACTATGCAGAGAATAATAATTAAAAGACTAACATGAAGTTCATGTAATAATTCTATCAATGCAGGACTTATTTATTTAATTTTCAGATTCCGTTAGTGATCCTAAATGGTAACAGAAAAAACATCAATAAACTATTCAACTAGTTAATTAGATAAATACAATAACACTCTTAAATAATTTTTCAACACTCCACAAACAATAATTTCCACTAAAACCTGACAGTAACAAATATCTATGCTCAAAATAGGATTTGAACTTTGCCTATATTAACCTTTAATTCTGCAAGCCAAAGCAACAATTTACTTTTTATTCCACTGTCACCATTTACAGTCACTAACAATCTGTAAATAAAATAAAATTAGTTCTACTTTGATAGAATTGTTATACTAAAAGCTTCATAAGTTAGACTCTCAAATAGCATTTAATGTACAATTTTAATTGCAAGATCCAGAATATTTGCCTATTATATAATTTGTTTTTAACTTTAGAAGGAAGTCTGTGAAAAATGTCTGTCAAAAAATGAACAATACTTCTGTGTGAAACAACTCAACATTCTGATGACACTAGCACATTCACATACACAGAACACATACAGTTGATAATCTTAGGGTGCTCTTTATTCTGCAACTCTCAGTATCAATATTGCAAAACTCTCCCAGGATACTATTGACTATGGACATTTGCATGGGAATAAAAACACCAAAGCTGTATAGGAGAAAATTTGATCAGCATGATGACTTGTTCATAAAATATCTTATTCCATAATTTTTTTGACTCTACAGTTTCAGCAAGAAGTTAGAGAGAGCTCATGATGAAGAACATACATGACTATGTCAAAGACATTGAATCGATTGACAAAGAATTTACTGACATGGAAAATCCCCCCAAAAGTGTTCATAAAGAAATCGAAGTACCACCACTTGGTAGAGTTTCAATAAAAGAGCACTTAACTAGTGCATGGAAGTGAAAAAATTTTGGAGTAAGCTACTTGATATTTACACTGTAAATAAAACTTAAACTGAATTCCACTTGTGATTGTACTGTACAGTACTTTTATTAAAATACAAGGGAGTGCAACTGATGTGACATCATTTTGAAGAGTGGTTTGAAAAATGTGACAAAGGGGGTTTGAATTCACAAAAAACAGTATGACATTTATCAACCCCTCATTTGTTAAATCAGATTTTATGTAAACTCTTTCACACAGGCTATCACAGGGGTGTCCAACAGTTTTGCCCCTGGACCGAATTGGAAAGAAAACATTTTCCACGGGCCAACCCAGAGGCTGCCCTAGGAAGATTTTAAGATGGTGCAAGATCTCATTGAGGTGTCACCCCCATAGAGACTGAATTGTAAATAGAGATTACAGATACATTTTTTCACACAATCATGCTTTATCAACATTCTATGCTGTACTTACAATGAGATTACAATGTACTTACAATGGAGGGTTAACTCTAAATGCACAGTGAGTTGTTGACCTTTTTTTTAAGGTGTCAGAATTTTTCATCGAGCTACTCGGACTTCATAATATTGAAAGATTGATTGCAGGCCACATAGATTTATTAGACGGACTGGATCTGGCCTGCGGGCCATATGTTGGCCATGCCTGGGCTATCAGGAAATCAGTGTATTTTTTCACTACAGTATAAATTTGAGTTGCCAGCTAATTGCAAGTTTCCAAATCATCCATCTTTATTTGGTTTTCTCCCATGTGAATTATATCAAAAACAAGTAAGAATTGCCTAACTCAATGTCATCTGGAATAATGCATCCAAATTACAATGATGCCACATACACCTGATTTGACAGCAATACTTAGAGAAAGGAAATGCAGTTTCTTTCACTGATTATAATGAATAGTTTGACTTAACAAATAAATAGCACAGCATATGAGCTCTGTAGAGACAGCAACAGGACTCCTTCCTCTTCTCCTCTCCAGTTTAATAGTTGAGTAACTAATCCAGACTGGCAGTATGCCTGCCAGCCCCATACTCAGACTGTACTACATATTAGTTTAGTAGGGCTGCATTACATTATGCTTTGTAAGGCAGAGTTCACACTGTTGACGACAACAACAAATACTAATGTTCTTATCGTTCATATTTGTAAAATGTTACACTAGTCATCATTGTTGATGTTGATTTTCATCTTAGTTATTTGAAAGTTATCTAAGATTTGTCATTATCGTAATGGTATTGGCCAATTAATGTAAACTTCCTGCAATTCCCTTTGAAGAAGATGAACAGCCAATCTCGTGTAATGAAGAAAGAAAAATCTTGGCTCATTGATGTCAACAAATTAACATTTTACTCTGAATATCCATTTTTAAAACGGAGACAAGTCCATCCAATCTAAAAGTGAAGAAATCCACAGAATATTACTAAGCCTAACGTAAACTGCACACTAACATGAAGACTAATAAGTAACACAAATGCTTTGACAATGAATGAATATGACAAAAGAGACACCATCATTATCGTTTAGGATTTGTGATCATTGCTTAAAAATATCTTGGGAAACAAACATTTAATACTGATAAAAAAAGTAAACTTAATAAAATTAAATTATAAAGAAAAGTTAAAAATACATGACTTTCAGTTAAAATTCAAGCAAGAGGAATCTTAATCAAAGAATGGAAACTAAATCATCAAAAAAAGCAGTCCTTAAAACAAAGTCAGTCATAAATGCCATTACACATGAATGCAAAGCAAGTAAAACAAATAATTTTAGATTATTTTACACACAAGTTCTTATGTAAGCATCTGAAAATATTAGAAGTTTGTTTTTATAAATTTGTATATGTTCAAAATGTTGAAAATTATAAGTTTGTTTTCATGTTTCCTTCCCAATAATGGACACTTAAAAATGAACATTTTATTCCACAGCTATCTATTATCAAGAAGTATTGTATTTGCTTATTAAATAAACTAATTTCCGTAGGTATCTATTATCAAGAAGTATTGTATTTGCTTATTAAATAAAATAATCAAGTTTAAATTTATAAGTCAAAGTTGCTGCTATTTATTTGGCATTTCCAGGGATGCTTCATTTTCAGAAGAAGAAGAAGAAATAAAAAATGATGGGTCAGCACAGCATAAAAAAATTAGCAATAAGTTGCTTAACTCTCCTGGCAACATTTGGTGGTACCATCTATTTTGATATTTTATTTAAAAACTTTACATGTTTAATTAATTATTATAAAATGGCAAAAATCTTAGTTTTGAGGGTAGGGATGGGTTTTATAAAAAAATTGTAAATGCTAATAATGAGTAAATTAGTCATTAAGTCCAATCTTACTCAAGATATGATACAACCCCCTTTATCTCACCACCTCCTTGACCTTTAACCACCAAAATTTAATAGCATTGATTCCACAATATACAAATCTACCTGCAAAAATGCAGAAATTTTTGACAACAAGCACAGGAATTATTTAGCTTCAAAGAGGTTGAACAAAACTGTGCCCCACACCAAGGAGACCCATACACTGAGGCACTTGGGGCATGTGCCCCATTTGTCGCCAGGTTCCCCTTTTCTTAATCTCCAAGGGAGCTCTAAGGTTTCATTTTATTTTTTAAATTACTCATTTTTACTAAAAAATTTTACTGGTGACAAAATTAAAATAAAAATTATTATTAACCGAAAATTTGTTCTAGTGGGTGGTGATTGTTTGGTTGAGTACTGAAATACCATTGTATTTGACTAATGCAATTTTGGCACATGCACTAGCATTGAGGGATTCATTAATTGCATTAATCAAGGAATACCTACATGTACTGCACATATGATGCCTCTTTTTAATAGCTGTTGCCCTATATTGTAGTCTATAGGCACCACTGTCCCCCCACACAAAAATATCCATACAAACAGGAAAAAAATCCAAATTTTTTTTTCATTTCTTTGTGTTTTTGGACTTGATACCTTGAAACATAAAGAAATGCAAAAAAAAAATTTTTGCCATACTTTCCCTCTGTTTTATATAACAGCCTGAAAAGTAAAATTAGTTATGAAAAAGTTCTATGTTACGGAAAGAATTTTACATAATATTTTTACATATGTAATTTGTACTGTACAATCTGTAACAAATCAACTACTGCCCAGCAATAGTTATGCATCTATAATATTTGAATTATATTATTCAGTCTGGTTACAACTAATTTATAATATATTACTACATTCCTACACATGCAAACTTCTTATGCAACGAACATTTTTAAATATATCTTGATTATTCCATTCTACCAGTAGAACCTGTGGATGGTCTTTATAAAAGTTGAAAACATTTGTTTTTTTAATAAATGTTTTTGTTCTTTTAACTGGATTATGGTTTTGAAGTGTTCTTATATTGCATACATCCAGTTTAGGATAGTGTCTATGCATCAAAAAAAAATAAAAAAAAATAATGGGGACAGAACTGAAGTAAAACCATATTAGAAAGGTTTTTTTTTATTAGTCTGTCACAACTTTTTGCAATTGTGAGACAACACTGAAAGAATCAAATAATTGGGGACTAGACTTCAATTTTGGCTAAAACCTCAGCAATATCCTCTTCAATCAAAGACTAAATTTTTGGACCAACTATTCCTCTCAGTACTAATAAGCATTACTTGAAAGAATGGTCCTGAATTAAAATTTTTGTACCTAATAATTTTAGTCTTGGCCGTCTAGATGTTAATTCCTTTATTATTCTTATTATATATAACAATTGACTAGTTTACTGTATAATAATATTTAGTTGATTCTTAATACTGAAACTCATTCTTAATGGTAACGAACAACAGGATTTAAAATCTTAAAAAAACACCGCTCGCAAAACACATGACCTTATTAAAGAAGTCGCATAACCCTTGCCCCCGAATACCCAGAATATTTGCATTCGCAAAAACCAACAAGGAGAACAAGGAAATTAGACCGGTAGTTGAAAAATGTAGTGCACCAACTTTTATACTTGAGAGGAGATTAAAAAAGTATATTTACGAAGACTTGGAGGATAATATGTTTGTGGCCCATCGACTTAACAAGATTAACAGAATCAAGAACGTTGCGAAAAATTTAGGATACAAAACGTCTACAATTAACGGATTGATCAAGGGTTACAAACAAGGGGCAAGCAAACGGGATGGTAGAAAAAATAGATTTAATAAATTTACATATAACAAGAATGTAGAAGGAATAATGGAGGAATTATGTACGTATAAAGACACGAGAACTGTGTATAAACGGGCGCCAAACATCTACAGATTGTTAAGGAATGATAAGGACAAGGTAGGAATGAAAGAAAAGACTGGAGTTTATAGAATTCCTTTTGAAAATCAGCAATTAGGGGTAGCGAAAGATTATGTGGGTGTCGCCACAAGAAACTTGGGGGTGCGTATAAAAGAACACATGTATGACGTCAGTAAAGGGCACAACAACACCATCTTGGCAATTATGGCGCAAACGGATGGAGCAAGTGTAAAGTGGGATGAGGCAAAGATAATTAAACCAGTCCATTCCCCAACTATTGCCTTTGGTATGGAAAAAATGGAGATATATAAGAGCAAAATAAATAACAACTGCTTAAATGCCAAGGATGCCAATGCTCTTACAACAGCATGGAAATACATGATAGAAAAACAAATGGGAATTAAAAATCCTTAAACTGGTGGCAGTTTTAACTCGTTTAATGTATATTATACGTTATATAGGTTTATTTTTTACAGTGTATATAATAAGTGTTCAAAAGCTATGTATTCGATATTAGAACAGTAATTTCTTGAGGATGGCCTATTAGAAGTAGGCTGAAAACGTTTGAATATTAAATTAATAATAAGCTCAGCAAGTGTTTGATGTGTGATTATATTATACTCATTCTTATATTTATGTCTTTTTCTTAGGTTAATATTAATAAATTGTTGTTTTTGTGCTTCTCAACTACCGGTACATTGTTGTTGTTCAATAAATTTCACAATGTATGTCGAAAATTCACTTTTAACATTTAGACTATAAATAGCTTTGATACAAATTGAAAAGATTTCAAAAATTTCAGTCATGAAGTGGCCATCAAATAAATTCTTCTATAGCTATTGATGAACAACTATGACATTGTTGTAAGTACCAAACATTGTCCACAGACAAAATTTTATAGTGCAGCATAATCCTTAATACACCTTGAATCACAGAATATATCAAGCTTAATGTGTGTAATATTCCATGTTTAAGCACTTTACATCCTTGTTATAAACTCATGGTCACTGATTATTTTTTGATGGAGATCTGTTTTTCCTCCTTTTCTATTGAATTTGTGTTGTGACTATTTTGACCACTACTTTTAATAAATTATAATTAATTTATAAATCCTACTATATATATCCAAAATAAAGCAACATTTAATATACATGTGACATAAAGGATAGGGAGACATTACAGTATTACAGCACTTTAATGCTAATCAAGATAACATTTTTGGCTGTTTTAAACATAATGGAAGATACCAATGTGTAAACACTCCACAGTAGCAAATGTATATATCAGACCTAAAAACTTGAGTCAAAAACAGTATTAATCCATGATCTTATGTGGCATTAATGATTTTCTGCACTTATTAGCTTTTTGCAGTAATTTTTTGCCAAATTGACTTACTTAGCTATGCTTCCATGATATTCTTATGCTGTGCGCTATCCATTTGACTATGTAAAAAAAATGATCAAAAATTTTTCTGTTTATCACAAGCCCTCAAATAAACTGCTGCATAAATTTGTCTCCTTGCACCTATTCTCATATACTGTACCTACAATCTTTTCTTTACATGATGGCATGCATAAGATGGTTTTCCATTCTGATGTGCTTTTCAATACTGTCATTCTTGGAGGCTTCTCAAGAGGGAGTCATGATATCACAAATGCTTGTCAAATATGCATGACAACATGATATGGAAGTCTGCAAGTTATTACAACCTTGAATGATTGTCTCCATAAGAAAAACTATGACCTTCAACATCTAGAATTTTTGTAGCTTTGTGCAACCAAAAAAGTACTGAAAAATCATTTCCCAGTCTGTCTGAGAACATCTCAACCCACATATCATTACTTTCATATAAACTCATTTCACATTAGCCATGCTATTGCAAAGTTGGACAGACTTCCTGTGGGAGAAGGGTTAAAGACATTGTTCTATAAACAAACAATACTGTAACTCAAACTAAATAATGTATGACCTTGAAATTTGGCACATGCAAAGAAGACAAATAACAGGATTTTTCAGAATCATCAAATTCAAGAAATGGCAATTATGTGCAAAAAATCAGCTGAAAATTTCCACTTTACGCATACAACCATGCTTAAT